CCAACCACTGCCCTGCCCACTCAGTAGCCACCCCACCCTCAGGGCCCTCGCAGGTAGTGAATGGGTGGGCAGAGACACCCTAGCAGCCATCAATGCTTCTTCCTTCCTTTTTGAAGGATCTGATGCTGCTGCCGATGAGGGCTACTTCATCTATTAAACCCAATACACTTGTCGCAGCTGCTAAGCCCCCGTAAGCCGCCGGGCGCCGTGTTTGTGATGGGACTGACAGTGCATGGAGGAGGCTGATTATACACGATTCCATTTCGCGGGCCCAGCAATGTAATTTCACAGGGCGATCAGCGTTTGCATGTAATAGCAGGCTGTGCTGAGGTGTCAGAATATTAAAGGCGCTAATGGCAAAGCTCCCTGTTACACAGGGGGCCACCCGCCGCGCCTACAGCAGGGCTGCGCGGCAGGCCCGTCGCAGATGGCTGGCCACTAAGCTAATGGGGCAGCAGCCAAGGCGGGCAGAGCCGCGAGAGAGGAGAGCCAGCCGGGAGCAGCTCGGCACCTGCTTCCCCGCGCATGGAAATTACAGCAGCCCAGGGGAAGGGAAGTGTGTGTGCCTTCCTGGCACAGGGCTGCGATGTTGTGGTTTGGTAGACCCGGCATCTTTCACCCCAGCTCCACCTGCTTTGGATAGACTCAGGGGCTCCTCAGTCATCGTTCCATCTGCCCCACTCTTTGGCCAGGAAGCCACAGCTGGGCAGATGCAGCTGGAGAAGTGGTACCCCAAGAATTTGGAACCAGTGTGGGAAAGGGACTTGGGCATAGGCTGTTGGTGAGAGCTCTTATGACACATTCCTGCCCCAGCAAAGTCAGAAAGCTTCTGGGTCCTTTACCTCCACACCCTGCAGGCTGGCAGGAAAGAGGGAGGAAGTGGGGATAGGATGCAGGCGGGACAAAGGGGATGGATGATAATTAGGCCCCTTGATTGATGCCAGTGTTGCCATTGGAACACAGAGCTGGGAAGCAGCACCTCAAGATATGGCTCTTTCTGTCCTTGTTGGCTGCCCCAGCCACACCCAAGCCCTTGCCTGTGCTCTCACCAAGCTTGCTCCTGCCGTTCTCCTTTGTCCTTGCTGTGTCTCCCGCCTGGAATGTTGTTGTCAAACCTACCCCCCCCCCCCCCCCCCCCCCGCGCTCCAGCCCTTCACTACCACTCTGTCCAGGAAGCTTTCCTAGCTGCCTCCAACCCCACACAGGCCTGCTTGTCTCCATTGTCCCTGTGGGCAACCACAGGGGACAGCCTCCCTGATCCTCCTATTCTAATGGTTCCCTAGGTCCCAGCCTTGACTTCTCAGCCAGAATCTCTGAGACACAGCCCATGTCACCTTGTTCTAAGCTGGGTTCCTGGGCAGGCTCTGTTCAGATTCATAGAGGGATGTAATCTCCCAGAGGATGTCTGGAAGGAGTTGGGAGTGGAAGGATGTGCCTAGTAACCTGAGGGGGAGTTTGGTGCCTGTATGGGTATGCACACTTGATGGTTATGTATCTGATGGGGAGGGACTTAAGAAGTGAGTGCTGGGGGTGGTGGGCATGTGCGTACAGACATGGAGGGCCAGCAGGTCTGAGGATCCAGACCACACGTTGGTAGGAACACAGATTGCTGTAGGACCTGTGTTCTCTGGGTGGCTCTGTCTGTTGTCTGTGGCTAAGGGGTACCTTAGATGTAGGAGCCGGAGGGAGCTTGTGGTGCTGTGCCTGTGGGGATTCCTTGAGGCTGGTGGTCACTTCTGAAGGTTCAGCTCTGCAGGGGTGTATGGTAGTGCCTGGGGGAGACATGCCAGGGTTCTCAGCAGGGGCAGCAGGGGGAGAGCCCAGGCTGAAGGAGAGCAGTTTTAATTAACCATTTTTAATATCATTTTGGACTTTGGCTGGTATGTGAAGGCCCCGCTGGAAGCAGCATTTGTAAAAATTAAATCCCTCTTATTAGGAGCTTGGCAGACCCATGTGCACGTGCTGCCCCCCTCCCCCCGCCCGTGCCCCCCTGAGGAAGAACTGGATGAGGCCATGTCACGGCAGCAATTGGTTATCATGCCTTATCTGGGAATAGGAAACTGTGCGCATGACACCCGCGGCCACGCTGGAGACGCCAATTCATCTCGCCCTCGCTCTGACAAGCTAGACTGCCCTTCCTGAAAGGCATCCGTCAGGCGGGACCGGGGCCTCTGCCTTGCCTGCTGCCTCTGTTTTCCTGCCTGGGCTCCAGCTTGCCCTGGTCCAGCCAGGCCCAGCCCGGCCCTCCTGGGCTCTGCCACCCACCGCCCCCCTTCCACATGTCCCAGTCTAGGGAAGATCTTGGGGAGTCATAATTATAATAATAATCTAATCACGGTGACGCGTCAGGGCAAGCGTCTAATGTTATCTGAAGTGGTCTTCCCGCTTAGCTGCGATAAGACTCGGGATGACGTGCAGATAACGTTGAGCTGCCCTGTCCCCAAGCCGTGAGCAGAGCAGAGGGGCCTCAGCAGCCCGCTGCCCGCCCGCCGCTTTAAGCCGGGAAGCGGCAGCACCTGCTAATGCAAGTGTTTAATATTTGATGGGCTGGGATAAAGCAGGATCACCTTCGAATTGAATTGAGTGTCAGCCGAGAATCTATTACTGAAATTCGGGTGTGATTTGACAGCAAAGTAGACGATGTTATTCTTCACTAGTTACTGCAATCTTCTCCCCGACATCACTTAAATATTTTTTTCTTTGCTTGAGTAAACACACATTATCCTTCTTTTTTCCCCCTTCCTTCCCTTTTTCCTTTTTAGAAGGGAAAAAAACCCATCCAGCTCGCCTTCTCCAGGCTGATAGGGTAGATTGTTATTTCTTTATTTGTCCTATTAAATGGAATTTCTGATCGTTTAATCCGGCCTTTGTAAGTGATTTTAAAGTACTTGAAAGCCGGCCCGCCACTGCTCTCTGGCCCACTGCGCTCCAGCCATGGCCCTGACCACGCTCAGCAGCTCTTCCAGCTGTGCACCACCCACTGGCTGCTTTCCCTCGCTTCTGCCTGCGTTCCCCCGGCTCTGCCCTGGCTCCAAGCCAGCGTTCTCTCCCCTGTCCTTGTGCCTCACACTCAGCCCCCGATTTGTGGGTTCAGCTGTGGCGTGGGAAAACGTGGGAGGGTTGACTGGGAAGTTGAGTTGTGGCTGGTACCTCCATGTCAAGGAAAATGGCTTCGGGAGGGTGCTGAGGTTGAAGCACCCACAGGGCTGAAGCTTGATTCCTGCAGCTGAGAAGGAAAGGTACCTGCCCTCTGCCCAGCCCCTTGGCCTTAGCACCGACTCTGTCCAGCCTGCTGACCCCGTGTTGGACCTTCCTCACCATGAGGGAGTCTGTGATGGGATGGGGACCTCTGGGCCCAGGGATGGGTGGGCACACTACAGTGCCTGTCTGACCGTGGCTGCCGTCACCTTAGTTCCATTCCACCAGTGGCCCCACCACCTAGCTTCTGGGAACTCAACCAAGCTACGTTCCCAATGACCACATCCCATTTGCTTTCTTCCCCTGGGAGGAGGGCAGTCTAGGGTTCCAGGACTTCAAAGGTGAGGGATGGGAAATGTTTGAAGGACCATCCAGCTATACAGCTCTCTGATAGAAGCCCAGGACTTTGCTTCCCATCAGAGACTCCCAACCCCCAGTGGGTACCCCCTTGTTGGGCTGAGCAGGAATTAAATTCCCACTGGGTCACTTAATAACATTCTAACCCTTGTAAGTCTCTTCTTTCTGGGCCTCAGTTTCCTCATCTGTGCTATCGAGTCAATTGTGCCTGTAAGGGGCTGTGAGAAAAAGTGCCATCCCTGTCCTACCATGTACCACCCCCCACCACGGAGGTTGGTGCGGCCAGGTGGCGCAGAGTAGGGGACGGAGGGGGGCAATGAAGTGCTAGGGGCCTGAGCAGATCGATGCCCCCAGCACTTCCTTCCCCAACCCCAGGAAAACAATTAAGTACAGATCGATGGGTGGCCGCTTTGAATATGCATAAGTGAGCACTTGACCTTCAGCAGAGATCTGTTCCCCCAACCACACACAGTCTCTCTCTCTCTCTCTCTCTCTCTCTCTCTC